TGCTTGTAAATTGTTTTTGTATTTCCTTCAAGAATAGGCATTACTGTTGTATAGTGAACAAACCCTTTACTCGTCTGTACACATTCTTGTACACATTCTGAGAACAAGATGTAGTAAACAAGTATAAATTTTTCTGTTAATGTAAAGGCTGTTACTAATAATCAGAACGCAGTAACTCTGTCATCCTCATAAAATCGACAATTGAAGAGTCGCAAATTTTTTTTTAACTCTCACAGTAATATTAATGTACGTTAACACTGCGCTGCTTCTGTAGATGGGTGACAGAGCTAGTCATGTCATATTTGCACTATATTTTGCAATACGTTTAATTTTTCACAAAATATGATAGCAAGTCTTAGCATCGTACAAATTTATTTTAGACAGTTTTGTTCAAAGTATGTGAAAAGAATGAGTTTTTAAACTAAGGTACTGCAATCCTTATGGTTGAATCGTGTGAATGGCGTATTTTCAGTGCCCTTAGAATAGAACATTTGATGAAGCTTGGAAAAGGACAATTCATCTTCTTGAGCACTGCAGTTATGGCTAAGATAGACATTCAAAAAAACTGGGTACCGATACTCATTCTCTCCTAAAAATGTTATGCAATTTAAATGCAATCAGAAATTCAAAATTACACAACTGACAATATAACGTACTTTAAATTTCATACGATGTTCCTGTATGGTATCTAGAATGAATAATATAAACACAAATCGGTTAGAAACAAAATATGAAAATTGAGGATTATTTTTAATACATGTTAAAAGTTGCATGAGTTTGGTACCAACGTTGACAAAATATTTGTGAAAAACTTGCATGATCATTCGATTCAGTAAATTGACATAATATCAATCATAACATTTTTGCCTAGGGGGAACCTTGTCCAGCATAGTAAATAAATACAGGTGATTTTTTTCTGCTGCTTTGTTGCTACTGATAACCATATACATTTCAATGTGACATTACAGTCAATATTTAAGCTTGTGAACTATTTAATCTGTACGAATATTACTTGTAAATGAATTGTAATTCAGGCGTATTTATTCAAACGATCTGCCATAATGCATGGATGGTAGACTTGGCCCTCTACAGAATTCCAAACTCTTTTTATTGTGACTGGAACTTGAAACTGTTCCTAATTTTTTTTTGTTTTCACCTTAGAAGGGACACTATCATGGCACTGATACTAAGATCATCTGTACTGAGAAGGTTTCTGTCAACGACGTGCCGTAGCAGCACCGGCGCTCGCATGGATTTAGTGTACGAGGACAGAACAGATTACCCAGCGCCTCATGTTCGATTCACAAAAGATGCTGAACTTGCAGAAGACCTCAAAGCACTTCGAAAGAAGGAAGCTGGTGACTGGAAAAACCTAACAGCAGATGAGAAGAGAGCGTGTAAGTGGATTGTCAGACCTACTTTTTCATTTAGAGCTGCGGTTTGTCTGAAAAGTTGACTTATTTAAAGTCCATTTCTGCTTTCTTGTTTAAAAGTATGCTTGACGACCATTGTGTGATGACTATTATGTTTTATAGTGTCTAATATGTTTGTAATGACTGGTGGGCTATGTTTAGAATACAACATTTGTCTGTTATCGGCTCTAAATTGATGGCTCAAACATTAAATATTAATTGTTTGTATTTTCAGTGTATCGCCTTGCTTTCCACAAAAGCTATGCGGATATGAAAGCTCCCACTGGTGAATGGAAAGTTATTTTAGGCGGCGTTTGCTTTGCTTTAGCAGTATCTGCAGGGATTTACATGTTCCAAAAAGATTATAGTAAGTTCTGAGATTTTCACCATTTGTTTCCTCAGGCTCTTACTAATATTAGTTGCATGCAAGTTTATATTTATTGAGTCGGCGTTTTCTCCAGAGCCTTTCATGCACAGTATCCACTGTGTTGGGTATCAAGAATATTTTTAGTATTTTTGTAAGTGTGTTTTTTTTACAATGTAATATGCAGTACAATATTGTCAATTATTCATGACAAACAATGTATGTGTAATTCCATGGCCCTGATAAAATCTTTGTTCCCTTCTTTGCAGTTCTACCAGAACCACCACATACGCTAAATGAAGATTGGCAAGCACAGCTTAGAGACTACATGATCAGGATGCACAATAATCCAATTGAAGGCATCGCATCGAAATGGGATTACGAGAAGAATGACTGGAAAAAATAACCAGATGCTAATTTGTAGTAACAATATCTATCTTACGTCATTGTAAATTTCACCCTGTCTTGGTGTTCAGTCTTTTACTGATCATTTTGCCATCATCCCCATCACAATGCTCCGGGAAATTGAAATCATTTTGTTGCCGTGTCGATAATTTTAATCAAATACAAAAACAGATGCTATGAAAATATCTGAAATGTGTGTTAACCAAGTTATTTCTCTATTAACAGTCATTCTCTGTATGTAAATGGAAGAGTATTTAAAAATTGGAGTCAAGTTTTAGATTGCAATTGATTTGAATGTTGTTTTACCTTTATTTGGAAAATAAATTCATGACAGTAAAATATTTAAAATAAAAAGCTGTAGCCGTAATTTTTTGAGTTGAAGGAAATGATCAGCATTAAAAGTTGGTCAGAAGGCTGTAGATTTAAACCATATGTAAATTAGTCTGGCTTTCCACACTGAAAACTATTTTGTATGGCCAGCATAACTTGATATTATTTTGCTGTGTGTTGTATACCGTTACTTGTGGCAGATAATTGCAACTGGAATTAAGTTGTGAATCCCTCATTTAGTTGCACTAGGAAGTAATATGAAGTACATGTTGTAGCGTTTGATTTCAGGTTGATTTGCAATTACTAGATATTGTCCAGTTTCATTCAACGGTGGTGGTGTGTACTTGTTACTGACAGTGTTTGTAGGTACCCCCTGCATTAACAATCAGTCCTACAAATTCAAATGAACCTCATTTATCCAGTTATACATTACAATGTAGTCTGGATATCTTCCAACTCTTATTTCATGGATCCTTTGTTCCTCTCCATACTACCATAGACTGCACGTTGCCCTGATGTTGCTCATGTAGCCAGTGTGGTGTTGACTGGCCTATAAATATAGCTGGCTACTAAACTGAATGGATAAGAATTCCTTAGAGGTCTCTCGCCCATAACTCTAATCCCCAACTTTGCCCCTCCCATTTTAATTGTATATGCCCTTTCTTCAGGACACGTATAGGTAACTATCTGGAGAGGCGTACTGTAGAATATTTTATTTTTGCTTAGAATTTATTTTCGCTGAAAGGATGATTGCGTGAAAATAAAATTCAACGAATTTTTTCCCTATATTTCACATTCATCTCGTCAAAAATCAGTGAAAATAAATTCCATAGAAAACACCCAAAATGCCTTTTCAGCGAAAATTAATTCCAGCTAAAATGAAGTATTTTACAATATACAATTACACCAGAAGCTGGAGTGTCAGGGTTTAGGCGAGAGTGGGTGCTCAAAAGACAGTTTCCTCTAAATAAGAAAATTTACTGAACGATGAATGACACTGCATCAGGAGATAGTTGCTACAAAGACTAAAGTGCAACTATCCCGTTCTTTGTGACGTAATACATGGTTAATAAGTGAAATCCAGGCAACATGTCATGACTATTATGGAGAGGAATGAAAGACCCACAAAATAAAAGGAAGATAACCAAGCTAATTATAATCAAACATATGCTCTTTATTTAGTTATGATATTTAAGGCCATGTATTAATTTTTCAAAGACAGTATGCAAACACTGACCACAAATTCCAAAAGTCATATGCTCATGCACATGTGTTTGAGGACTTACAATGCATAATGCATTTGAAAATAGGGGCATAATTCTCTTTCCCCATTACAAGTTACTTGCAAAATAGTTTACAGGACTCACTGAAGACCTTCAAAAGGATGAGAATTTCTTCAATAAATATATATGTATCTATAGCTGGTTTGTTTAAGAGGGCTTTATCTTATACTTTCTGAATTACTGCAGGCCACACACAACTTTAATTACATTGACAGTGAATAGTCTTTGATTTTCTCGTATAAAGAAACTGTCAGAATTACTTGCATTTTAACTCCAATACAAGCGACCTGACGATCGAATTAGCTCCGCTGTTCATTATCATGGAACAAGAATTAGTAAAGTGGCATTGTGGTTGTAATATTCATAGTCATTTAGAGAACATTGCACTTGAGTTACAGTTGCAATTATGAACTTTTATAGTGTTCCTTGCTGCAAATACTAAAAATGACAAAAATATTCACTAAAAATCCAAATTTGCATATTTTGACACAAATTTAACAAATCTGACAGAGGACCACCCCACGTATCATTGCTGAAAAGATGAAAGCAATTGGACTTGTGGTTTGGGACTAGTTGTCGAAAATGACATTTTTACAAAAAATGATAACAAATATTCACTAAAAATCCAAATTTGCATATTTTAAAACGAATTTAACAATCTGACAGAGGACCACCCCACTTATCCTTGCTGCAAATATTAAAGCAATTGGACTTATGGTTTAGGACTAGTTGTCAAAAATAACATTTTTTACCAAAAATGACAAATATTCACTAAAAATCCAAATTTGCATATTTTGACACAAATCTGACAGAGGACCACCCCACGTATCATTGCTGGAAATATGAAAGCATTTGGACTTACAGTTTTGGACTAGTTGTCGAAAATAACATGTTTTACCAAAAATGATAAAAATATTCACTAAAAATTCAAATTTCCATATTTTGACACAAATTTAACAAATCTGACAGAGGACCACCCAAAGTACCTTTGGTACACATATGAATGTAATTGGTCAAGTACTTTTGAAGAAGAAGTCATTTAAAAAAAAACTTCACGCGAGATGCCAGTAAGACCCCAACACGACAGTCAGCTGGCGCACACGTGATAATAAAATAAATATGAT